TACTAAAATAAACTACTACTTGTACTACTATTCCTACTTCGTGGTTTTTCACTTATCGCTGGGCTTCAGGGTGCGGATCCCCCGCGATAAACGAGGGACTACTGTAGTAGTGGTTTAAAACTTTTGCACTGAGCTGTAGTTTCTCATCATTAAAGTGAACCCATTCATATTTTGTAGCCAAGATTTTATTTATATTTTTGTCTTCAAGTTTTAAAGAGGTTCGCCTTTAATTTGTGTTCTGGTGACTCTCTGGACTCAGATCGGCGACACACTGGACAGCACTTGTTGCGAACAGCGAGTCTCGACTCTTTAGTGTCAACAGCTTGCAGAGCACGTGCAACACAGTCTGTCTCGTCTTAAGACGACTTGTTTCCGGTTAAAGTGGGCCAGCTTTATTCCCGGGGCCGTTGTCATCACGTTGTGTAGTTTTACTGTATCAGTGCGAGTAAGAATACAAGAAGTTTGCAGCTGTATTTGATGCGTCTCACTGCGTTTTCTCCGTGTGTGAACTTTTCAAGTTAGGCACCATCTGTGGACTGAGGCGAGCGTCAACATTGTTAACAGGATTGAGGATAAGTAGCGTGTTTAATGCAACAGTCCTTCCTTCAGCAAGTCCCTCCAGTTTCAGATTATAATTCCTGTTTTGGGTTGAATTGATCCTTGGCCACAAAAAACATGTATAGGAACACGGATACAAGCTGCACACGTGTCAGTCTGTTAGATCTCAGTGGTCCGTCTTCTACACGGTGATTCCTGTTTAAATAAACACATAGAGTTTTATTAGAGGTCACATTTCCACTTAATGTTTTTTTCTTGCTCCAGGAACATGATGAGGTCATTAACTCTTCGTCCGCACTTGAGACGACATCAATCAGCCCGTCGCTGATTGGCTGATATTCAAGATACAAATGTCAAGACTGCAATTACGACACTAACCTTCCATCACCAAATCAGCTCATCTAATGCACATTGGACAACTTAAAAGTAACGTTAGGTTTCCCCTGACATGCATGACCTTTCCTCATCATGAATGTTATCACTGCACAGACTGTCCGGTGCCAGAGGTTTGAGGCATAAGTGACTGTTGTCGAAGTTGAAGTTTATGAACTCGTAGGCACAGATTAGCAAAAACGTAGATGTGACTGTGTGGACTGGGAGTCTCATATAAACACATGACAAGACAGGCGTGAAGCCGAGTACCTCACTGAGCAGCGACTCGTTGGCGAGCGGCACCCACGAGGGATTTCCAAAACGTTCTTAATTTCCTTGCAAGAGTTGCAGAAGTTTACATTTTTATCAGTGTCGTTTTGAACGTGCTCAAAATATTTGTTGTATTTTTTTCCTCATCAAAAGTGTCACAGATTCGTTGGTGCCTTGAACTCATCCCAGTTTTGTTTCAGGCGTCTCAAATCTGCAACAGGCGAAAACATCCGAGACAAATGTCCACGTGTAAAACCCACACTGGTGGTGAAAAATGTTTGGCAACTGATTTTCTCCAGTCTGATGCAACGTGCGCTCAAACCTGCAGCCTCAGGATTCTGAAACTGCTGCTCCCTGATGAAGAATTATAATTATTAATTATTTAAAAATGGTCTAACCCTAGCTGTCTTTATTTCAATAGTAAACACCCAACATTAAACATGAGCAGTCGGTGAGTTGCGGGTACAACGAAGGCAACAAATTAATGCGCACAACTAGAATACGGGTTTCTAAACGTCCAACCGTTGAATTAAAACGTGCTCGTTTGCATAAGTTCTGGAGAACTTTCATGCTTGTGTAATCTATGGTTCCTAAAAGTTCATCCATCTCCGAGGTTGGTTTTTAAAAACTAAAATGAGTTTAAAGTGTGTTCTTGATGTTCCTCCTGTTTAGAAGAGGTGGTGTTTTTGGTTTTATGACAATTTAATTGTTTATTTATGTTATTGACCCTAGAAGTAAGAGTTTGTCCAACTTTAAACCTTAACAGACCCAAACAAAGTTCTGTTGCTTGTTCAGTGACACAATACTGTTCATTAACAAACCTGTGCACATGGTTTATTAAGCTAAGGGGTCAGATTTTCCTTCATACCTAAAAAAAATACAGCCTATATAATCTGTTAGACAGCTGAGCTGCCACTCGACACCAGCAGTTGGCATCACGACTCGCATGCCTTTATCTTTGGCTGCCGTGGCACAGATTACTCATTCACCAGTGACAGAATCAAACCCAACCAGATTTTAAACCCAACACCAGGAACTTAAAGCATTGCTGCAGTAGTAGCTGTATGTATTTCTTGTGTTTTGAGCGGTGCAGCTGTTTAGGACACATTCGAGGCTGCAGCCCTGAAGGCTTAACGATGCCCGTCCTTAATGTCATGACCTTTGTGTGAAATTCTGGCAAAGATGATTCAATTTGTTTGTTTCAACCCTTCAGGTCAACAAGACTGAAGACAAGTCTCTGGAGGAGCGTGGACGGATCATGATTTCTCTCAAATACAACACGCAGAAGTCGTGCCTGATTGTGGGCATCATACGCTGCGCCCACCTCGCCGCCATGGACGCCAACGGCTTCTCCGACCCCTACGTCAAAACGTCAGTATGCAAACCACATGTAGATAAATCCAAACAGATCCCAGGGCTGGTGGAAATCCATGGGGCAAAGTTCAGGGTATTTAGAGAGCAAATATCTACAAAACAACCGTCAAATTCTGGAATAAATGTTATGAAGTTTGCTTTCTGTGTGACTCATACAATAAGATTTATCACTTGTCAATCTTGGGGAAAATTGACTGAATGATTTCATAAAAGTAAAGTTCACAAACATCATTAAGAAACTTGTGAACTAAAAGACAAACGTAGCTCACTTCATCCCTCATCTGAAACAGCCAAATGCTATTTTTAGTATTGTTCAGACAGTGAAGAAGATGCAGGGATGGATTATCTGCCAGAGCTGATGTTGAAGCAGAATAAGAGAGATAACCTGTGATTATCAGCAGCACGAGAGGGAGGCAGCGGGAGAGGCCGTGTGATGGGCTGTAATTTGAAGGAGAGTCTTATTTATCTCACCTGAACATTTCCCCAAGTCTTTCATCTGCCTCGGCGATGGAAGCGCAATTAATTTCCGACTCTGCACCCCGAGAACAAAAGCAGGACTTGTTTCGAAGGTGGAGGGAAAATCTTCACGAAGCCTGAAGGGCGTGGTGCGGACCGTACCAGATGGACCGAGTGAACAGCAACACAGGACGTGTCTCCACCGTCACATGAAGTCAACGGAGGGTTTATCTGTCGCGGCAAGTCGCCCAAACTCTTAATGATACGATCGTCACCTTTCTCGATTTACTTCTCGTGAGTCAGAAAGAGAAAGAAACACACGACAAGTTTAACTTAAGTTTTTATGGTGTTTTGTTGGTTCCTTCACTTCCTGCTCCCCAGCCCTGCCACGCTCACCCACACCCGTTCTCAGTTTTGTTTTGTTTTTCAACTCAGCTCAATCTTTATTTGTATATGTTAGTCTCACTGAGCCTCGAAGACTCATTTACAAGAGAGACCTGTTTTAACAAAGAACGCAGACGACAACAGTAGACAATCAAAAAAAAGCTTATGAATGAAAAGTAAAAGAAAGAAATCATATTAAAAAAACGGGAATAAAAACAGCTACATTATAAAGTGATATAAAGTAATAAAAACAGGAACATGTCTGCGTTGGTTTTTGTCATGAACTTGGCAGTTCTTTAAAGTCCCTTAGAGAGAGGTCAAGGTCGAGAGCTTCAGATCTTTTACAAATATTTTTACATCTTGGTCGACTCTCATTTCTCTTAAGCCCCATCTCAAAAACTTGGTAAAGAAACTGAAAGTTTAACTGGGTTTCTTTTTCAGAAATAGATCCCGTGTAACTCTGACTACTAGGAAACGCCTTGTAACTGACTTTCCTTCCCTCCATTGACTATGATGACATTTACATGAACAAGCTCCCTGCATATGTTGAATGCTGCCTTTCTGGGTGCATTAAGTTTCATAACTGGCTGTAACTACCGTACCCATCATTGCACTGGTTAACTGGTCATTAACTTCACGCACTCTTCCACTGGTACATTTTAAAAACAACATCCCTTTGGTTTTGTTAGCATTTAGCACAAGTTTGAGACGAAACATCTGACTGGATGATGTCAAATGCAGACTAGAAAAACTGGAAAACCTTAGCAACTGTTTCAGCTCGACAATAACTGTGACATCAGCGTAGAAATGTAAGGATGCATCAGGAATGAATTGACCTACATTACTTATGTAGATTGTGAAGCGGGTGGGTCATAAGACTGAACCTTGTGGTACACCATTAGTGAGTGTTAGGTAGCTGGAAGAAGTACCATTATGAACACATTGCTGCCACGACAGCTTTTTGCGTTTGTTTTAATAAGTTTATTTTTAACTGAAGCTCCTCACGTCTGCCTGCATTCATGGGTCCAATTCCGCAACTGTGACCAATGAAACCAAGTTTAAATTATAGAGCGTAAAAGAAAATAAATTTTCTAATAAACGGAGACATAATAAAGACACTTTGTGACTAAAATCGTGCCAATTCAGTTACGTATAAACACAAGCGTGTCTCAAAACACCAATTCATTACGACTCTTAAGAGAAAAAATCTGTTATTTGGCATTTTGTGTCCCTCGCTAGTCTCCAGTCTACTCAGAGACTACCTTTATGTTTTACTTGTGTCACGGGACCAGGGTTTTGGATTCAAAATAGCCAGACAGGAGTGCAAAAACAAGAACAGTTTTTATTTATTATAGGCTGTGGGAGCAAAGTCAGGATCAGCTGAGTGGACAGTCTTCACAGGCAGATGGAGTGAGAGTCACCCGTCAAGTCTGCAGCAATGATGTCACTGGTCTTGTGCAGAGCAGCTGCAATAACGTGGTTTGAGGTTCAAATCCAATAATGGGGTCTGGTTGTCAGAGCAGGGGTCATGAACAGGAAGACAGAGGTCCAGATTCAAAATCCAGAAACGTAATCCGAGAGTCGTGGTCATAGACTGAAGAGGAGGTCGTTACTGTGATCAGAGAGGCAGAGAGATAAATCCAAGAGGCAGGCGTGAGGTCGTAGTCCACAACACAAGGCTTGAGGTTCAGGCATGAAACTATGAATGGCTTGAGAATCAGGGACCATGAGAGGTTTAATAATCTGGGCATGGAGTTTAAGTAGTGGAGAGAACAGGTGAGAGGCATGAAGGTTGATTGTGGTGAATCAGCCGAGGGGGCGTGGTGACAGAGAAGTGACATGAGCAGACTTGAAGTGCAGATTGACAGGAGCTGATGTGAACAACGACAGGAGCTGAGGGATAAACAAAGCATGAAGGAGAGGGGCAGAAACATGGCATGTCATGAAGAGGCAGAGAAGTGAGCAGATGGGGGGCCAGCGGGGGCCGCTGATCATGACAACTTGGTCATTTTAGGAAGAAACACCCTCTTCTTTTTGAAGTGGACCCAAAAGTGCCGGAGATTTCCAGCTTAAAAACACTAAGACTTTTGGGTATTTTTTGTCAAATACTTTTTACATCAAAGTCATTCACGCACAGGTTGTTTGAGCTGTAATCAAACCAGCAGCTTGAAAGACAACGAGACAATTAAATTACAATAAAAACATTTACTGCACAATAACACTTCCACACTGAGATCCGTCGGTGGAGTTTGTGGTTCCATGAACAGTTACTGCAGCGTCCCACAGGGTAAAACTGGTGAGCCACCCCCCTGTCAGCGCCGCTGAAGCTTCTGCGTTATCCTGGGAAATAACCGTGTGTGGGTCCAGTGGGCCCAGAACAGGAGAGGGATGAGATGAGCCCCTAGAGATAAAACACTGTAAACAGCACCACGCTGAGCAGAAACTGTTCAGGGCTCCTGAACAGGAAGTAAAGTTCAACCTGCCTTTTTCAATCAAAGAAGTAAAAGTCTGGTCTCCAGTCAGACTCACGAGCTGCTTCATGAGCGCACGCATCGCTGCGCCCGGAGCAACAGTGGCACCAAGAATCTGTTTTCACCGCTGGCTCACCGGCTGCAGTCGGTGCAAACAGAAAACAAGCTGCATGTTTCCAGAGCAGGAACTAACGGGGCTCCTGCGTGCTGATGGCACCGCGTCAGAACGACCACCCCTCACTCTGACCTGTTCAGTTTCCATTTCACTGGTTTGTACTGAACAACTCACCTGGAAACTTCAGTTTGTTTAAAAAGCAGAAACCAGAGCCAACTAAACGTGGCTTCAGTTAACCAGTCCGTAATTCAACGTGAAACTGGAACGTTTCTGAAGAAACTGGTGCCACACAGCTCCTGCCTGGAACTCCAACATACATCAAGTTTCTTCTATAAAACCCAGGAGGACATTTCAGGTTACTTCTGTGATGATCTAAGACGACTAAATATTGAAGTTTTGATGTATAATTGTGACAAGAAAGTTTGTTTGCAGACATCTCAAAAATTAGTCGACCTCATCGCACTCCATGTTGAATTTTCTGTAATTTTTTTTTTTTTTTACATAAAACTTTTTTATTTTTTTTACACAAAAGTTAGAAATGTGACTTTTCCCAGTGACTCAGTAAATCTAGGAAGGCTCAGATGTCCCAGCTTTTCACGAACCTTGAACGCAGCATCATCTTCGTGGATCTGGAACTGCAAGAAAGTCTCAAAAATCCCATTTATAGGCAACAGAACAGACTCTGTTTCTTCGGAGGTAAAAGGTCTTATCATAAAAACCGGAGACTTAAAATGTGAAGTTTGTGTAATTTGGAGGTTTGATGTGGTGAAAGCAGGGCAGGACCACAGCGCCCCCTGGAGGACAGAACAATACAAACTGTTGACAGATCAAATGTCTTTGAACTGAGGCGTCGTCAAGATGATTATATTCATGTCAGATTACAGAAAGTGCAGCTCTAAGGCTCTCCCTGTCCTCCTGCAGGTACCTGAAGCCCGACGAGAACAAAAAGTCGAAGCACAAAACAGCTGTGAAGAAGAAAACGCTCAATCCCGAGTTCAACGAGGTAAAACTCCCTGTACAACTCTGCTCTTTCAGCTTCATTTCTTTATTTTTCTCCTGACATGAGAATTATGTGATGACTTTACAGGCTTCTTTTACAATCATCTGTTAGGATTTTTAAATGCTTTAAAAGATGAAGTTCTTCTGTTAGTGGATGATTTTTCATTTATCTACTTCAACACGAACAGGAGACAAAATATTGAAGGAAATTACAAAAAAAAAACACTAAACCAGTTGTTTGCATATCACCCTTTTTAAAAAGAACCTAAATACAAGTTGCATAAGACCTGCTCTCTAATTTACCTTTGAATTCAAAACGATGGTGGATTTTCTTCACGTTCGTGTTTGTTTTTTCAGGACGTTGACTGTTTCCAGGTCGAGCCTCCTCCTGAACACAAACAGACACCCCCGGCCGAACGCTCCCTCGGCCCGGCAGCTTGACATTTCCTCTGACATTTTTGGCGCCCGTATTCCTCCATCGCCTCTCGGCCTTTCTGTCAGAGACGAAGGTCGCTGCGTGGATCAGGGCTTCGATTAAAGCCGAACACCAACCTTTATTTTACCGCAGACTGACGTGTCTCCTTACAAACATGAACCGCACAAAGAAAGTGGTCCACGTCTTTAAATTTTACACTAAACTCTGTTCTAGTCCACGCTTGACGATACGTTTAACAGCTGATTAAAAACTAACTTTTAAAGCCTTGTGTCAGCAAAAGTTTTAAGCAAAGATCTCGTGCAGTCTGTGGATTTTCCAAAGTAAAGGTGGACTCAAGAATGGAACAAGTCTTTTGTGGCGATTTGTTAAAAAGTAGAGAGATGTTAAGAGCACGACAGTCTGGGGAAGTTGTGGAGAATAACACAAACAGGAAGTGTGTGTTTAATGGGAGCTCCGAGATTCGAGCACATTTGGACCCACGAGCCAATCAACTTCCAGGACGCGTTCGGTGACAGAACACACCAAATTTCAGCTCAATATCTGTGAATTTGCTGTTTTTGTGATTATTTGAGCTTATAAGCTGTGGCGGCCATCTTGAATGAGGTTGAGTTCAACGATTCTTCAGTTGCAGATGTTCTGATGGTTTTATTAAAACCCTTTCATGGTGATGGATGATAATGTCATGTTTTTTATAATCAGATTTAAAAGAAAAAATAATCCTGTTGCATTCATGACTGTTATGGGTAGGCCTGTCGTGATAAACAATAAACCAATTAATCGCATGATCAATGAAAATTATCAACCTCATTTTCATTTATCGGCTTTATCATTTTTTGCGTCTCTCTTTCTACTGAAGACACTGGACGACAAAAGGCTCAACTCTGGTGATCTTCACTGACCCCTCCCTTTCTCTTTAAAATCTGTTTTAACCGTCCAGAATCGTGTTTTTGGATCGTTAAAAGCAGCTAAGCTGAGAAGCTAAGCTACGAGCTAAGCTAACAGGCCGACCTCAGGAAAAAAAACTCCGTCTTATCGAATTTCCAAAATTCAAGGTTGAAACCCGTGCCTTTGTGTAAAAAGTTGTTTTTCTCTGCAAAAAGAAGCTGAGAACTTGTTTACTGATTTTTTATTAAAAGCTTTGTGTGAAAAATGCTAAAGAGCTCAAACCACATCGAGCATCCGCCATTTTGAGAACCAAAGACAGACAGCCCATGTCACGTCAAGAGGCCTCCCTCATTTTTCTTAAGAGAAAAGCTGCTCGCTCGCTCACTATCCATCCTTCAGTTCAAACAGGCTTGTGCTGCCATCCGGTGGTTGCAAAAAGGTACTACATGCAAAACAAATTAACAAACACTTCTTAAATTTGACAATAATTACTAATTATTGTCAAATTTCAAACAATATTATTGTTTATCGCAATAATTTCTGAGACAATTAATCGCCCAGCAAAATGTGTTATCGTGCCAGGCCTAGTAACGGATGTTAAAACTCAAACCAAATGTTTGGTTGTCAACATGCTGAAGTCAAAATAAAGTTTTGTTCTGAAGTACGTGGCACATGTTTACCTGTGTTTCTGTTGTCTCCTGCAGGAGTTCTGTTACGACATAAAATATGCAGACCTCACTAAAAAGACCCTGGAGATCACGGTGTGGGACTACGACATCGGGAAGTCCAACGATTTCATAGGTAAGAAGGCGGGCCTCGGCGTTCTGTTCTGCTCTCATCAGAGATGATGCTGTGGGACCAGAGGTGATTTCACCGACTTTCAGAGCACAGCTGGACCTCAGTCCATCTGACGGTCCATCTGTTCGGTTCTCTAAAGCTGGAGGGCTGAGAATGAGATCAGCAAACCGAGCTGCCGTCGTTTTCTGCTTCAAAACACTTCTAGCTGTAATCAAGTCCCAAAGCTCCTCTTTAACAGTGTGGTCAAATCTTCAGGCTTAAACTGTAAACTGCATCTTTGTCATCATTGGTGCTGCACTTCAGAACAAAGTGTCGAAGGTACTGAGTAGTAAAAACTATGAGCTAAAAAACAACTAAACATGTAAAATGTGTTGCACCTTACAGCCTGCAGTCCCTCCCATAAGTCAAATATAAAGCTTTCTGCACGCAAACCCAAAATCTCTGCTTTTATTTTAAATCCAGCCCTTGAGGTGCTTTTATTTTGAAGGCTAGTAGAAGTTTACTGAGGCAGTGGATTCTCCACTGTGAGAGATTTAGGAGTCGTGTCAGCACACAGTAACTAAACGGACCGATACAGAATGTAAAGTTTTAACAACGTCTGAACTTCGGTTTATTTCATGAAGTCAGTGACAAAGAAACAAGTTCAGTTTGTGGATTAAATGAAATCAGCACCTTCAGACCAAAGACAGCGCTAACCCTCATCATTTTAGGTACAACACCCAGTTCTTGTCAAATGGTTGCATTTATCTGTAGAAATGTACTCACTCTTGTTTGCGTTTAGAATAAATGAGAATATTCCGGATCCATCTTACTGTGACTCCCCCTTGAGGTTTCTGGCACGTCCGATTAAATCACGTCATGTTTTCATCTGCCAGGAAATATGTAAATATATCTTCATGTGAACCGACAACTGATTTTGTTTTTAGATAAATTAAAAAAGTTCTTAAAACCTTCAAAATGCGAGTCAGCCTTAAAATCTTGTTTCTCGTGATTTTAGCCTGACTGTAGTCGTGTGTCTCGATGTTTTTAACTTTATATCTGGAAAACAAATCTAGTATGAAGACTAAACAGTCTAAATTTTAAACGTTTATATGTTTATTGCAGTAAATCAGTTGTTGCCATTAATTGTATTCATTTAGTTTGTTTTTAACTGTGAACTTTGAAAGCTACTATTGAACCTACACTCGCTTTTAATTTAAATTCTTAAAGTAAAGAAAGGTTGATTGTCGTTTTTAGACTCGTGACAGAAGAGCTCAAACTACCGGGTAGTCTTAGTCCCAGAGTACAGGAAGTGTTTTAGCACAAGCACGGTCCATGTGGGTCCGGGTGTGTTTCCACCAACAAAACATTCAGTTCTGTTGAGCATTTAATCATCAACAGGAAACAGAACCAGCGGCTGTTTGTGATTCAGAGACTAAAGGCGTCCTGTGTTACTCCAGAAGAAAACCTGAAAACGTTCAGCGTCAGGCGACTAAAACAGAGCGGAGCGTTTCACGTTTATATCTGGTAGCCATCAGCTGGTGAGTCCGTCACGTTACAGCTCAAATCTGCACTTTTATGTTCTTACGTGTTCTTTAATTGGACTGTTTGTCCATTTACATCACGAACAAGATCATGTTTAATCAAATTGACCTTTCACCACATCCCAGTCGTGTACGTTCAACCCTTGTATTGTCGTCTGGGGAGAAATCGGAGCGTTGCGTCACTATGCTAGGTGAAGCCACTTATCCTGTGGCTACATCGCACTGCGGAGTCCCGCCTCTCATCTCGTCTGACAAAAATTGTTTTCGTTTGGGTGTAAAGGACAAAGACTCACTTGTAATGTGCACAAATACATATTTAGTACTACAAAGCTGTTTCACATGCATGCAGGCTGCAGCATCAGACGTTCTACAGCTGACGGCGGCTCACTGCCGATGGTTTATCCAAAGGCAGGAAGTAGTTTGCAGGTGCGTCGTGCGCCCGCAGCTTGCTCGTATATAAGAGAAGACAGAACTTTATTGATCCCGCAGGAAATTGTTGTGCCAGAGTTTCAGTATAAAGGAACATACACAAGAAATCACATAAGATATAAAAGAATATAAAATGCCAATATCTGGGTCAATACATGCAAAAAACAATTTAGAAACCAGCGATTCTATCACAGGCAGAGTTTAAAACATAAATAATATAATAATTTTTTTTTTAAATGAAGAAATTATTACAAAAAATAAACCTCCGTGTCCGAAGAGCGGGAGACACGAGTAAGTTTGACCAAAATCAAGACGTCATTTTTGACTTCTGGCTCTGAAGGGTTCCGTAGTCTGGAGGGTCTTTACAAAACTCTGGACTAGAATTTATTTATTTATTTATTTTTAGTCTTTAAAATTTATTTTGGGCTTACAATGTGAGAAGATGTCTTTTTATTTATTTATTTTTTTCCTCAAAAATTGTCGTTAAATAAATACTTTGTTACTTTAAGAACTGAAATGTTGAGTTTTTTTATTTATTTATTTTAACAAATCCCTTAAATAATAATTTTTAAAAAATTCAGGCAGAGATAGTTCTAAAAGATTGGTCAGTTTTTTTGTAGTTTTTTATTTATTTGTTTTTATTCTAATTTTAAGCAGTTACATTAGGTGGTGAATCTGTCCCCTCAGGGACACGGTGGACAAAACGAGTTAAAACGCGCATCATCAGGATTGTTGCGTGAGGGAATCGTGCTTTGGGGTTTGATTATTCTGACCACTTAATATCAGTTAGCAGTAATATTGTTAATAAATGTTTATTTCATGGTGTATTTTATGATTTTGTTGTTGGGCTCAAAGCGTTTGGCTCTTTATGAATAAATTTGACTCTGCTGTGGTTTTCTGTCGTGGTGGCGAGGGCGTTGAGTTTGCGGCGTGTCCTGCCGGGGTTGAGTGCCTGACTCGTCCTGTGTGTACGTTTCCTCAGGTGGTGTGTCTCTGGGTATCAATGCAAACGGAGAGAGGCTCAAACACTGGTTCGACTGCCTCAAAAACAAGGACAAAAAAATTGAACGCTGGCACACGCTGACCAATGAATTACCCGGATCGTTAAATGACTGAAGACCTGCACCCTGCCCCGACCCCACACGGCTGCCCTCTACAGGACCCCCCCTTCATTTTCTTAGCCTCTCTGCCGCCCCTGGGTTCTCCTCCGTTGGACGCCTGACGTCTCTTCTTGGGAATATATTTCCTGCCAACAGGGCTCAACTAAAAGTCTCCAAATCTTCAATTTCACATCGTCCTCACAGACTGCAAAGATTTACACTCAACAAAATAAACTCCGGGGATTGTAGTTTATTCTGGGGCTTCTCAGCTTCCATCACATGATCGCTGGAGATAAACGAAGCAAATTGTATCTATTTGATGAGACCAGCTGAATAAATGTCTCTAATCCCTAAAGCAGCTGAGAAAAACCGTCACTATATCATCTGGCTGAAAATGAAGGGAACTAAAGGAGTAGCAGATGTTTCCTTGTGTATATCTCATCCTAAATATCCTCATTAACCTTTTTGACAGTATCATGTAGTGACCCAGAGGAGCAGCTGGATGGGATGTTGCACTTTAACACACTTTAAAACAGTTTAGTGGGATCTAAAGACACAACTGGTTTGTTTTAGAAGTTTGTTCTTTTCTCTTGAGTCGTTTGTTTTAGAAGTTTTATCTCTTCCTGCTCGTCCCGGTCCCTGATCCAATCTTTACCCCAAAAAATGTCTTTATAATCATTGGTTCTCTTACAAAACAACAAAAAAACATTCACTTTGTTTGGATGAGTTGAGTTTTCTCCACCACGAGACTTAAAAGGCGTGTTTAAGTAACCAAAGCTGCTGGTTTAGATAGAGAACATGTTTTAGATCTTCAGTCAGAAAAACAAACTCTACTTCCTGGATGAATCGTTCCTTTTCTCCACCTGGAGCCAACAAATCGTAAAGAAGGTGCAAAGTTCAGAAGAAGGATTTAACGAATGACAATCTGAGGCTCAGTTTCACTTTACGTCAACTAAAATCCTGGTTTTACCCCAAAAGCTGCCGAGGCAGCTCTTAACTTCAGCACATTGTAAAAGTAGCCCCGTATTTTTTAATACGTGGAATACAATTTATTTTATTTTATTAAACGTTATAATTCTGCTAAAATACTTCAGATCATCGAAGTTAAAAGGAGAATATTAAATGCATATTTACACTCCGTAGAGCCTCCTTACAGTCTCTTCTGTTTTGTCTCCAGGAGCTCAAGACGTCCAGATTTTGGACTTTTTGTACCTGGTTCTCGTTAAACCAGGTCCTGGTCCTTGAGGGTCCTCTAGCCTCCATGTTTGTTTCCTGTTCCAACACCTGATTCAAGTCACTCCTTCATTTAGATCAGTTTGTTAGAGCAAAGAAACCTCTAAAACGTGCAGGTAGTGACCCTGGAGGACCAAGATCAGACCCCCCTGCCTTAAACCGGTGGAGTGTTGCTTCAGCTGTGTTCAGGGTCGCTGTCCTACTGGAAGGTGGACCTCCGTCCCAGTCTCCAGTCTCTGGAGGACTCCAGTTCCTCCAGAAGAGTTTTTCTGTATTTTGCTCTGTCCATCGTTCCTTCCACTGAAAGTGTCCCCGCAGCATGATGCTGCCACCACCATGCTTCATTCTCAGAGGTGTTAGGTTTGATCTAGACGTTACGTCGTCCTCGATGTTCATTATTTCCTCATTTAACGTCATTAATCTAAAGTTTTTCCTTTGCTTTGTTTCATTTTTTGGCGGGAAAACGATTCAGTTAAATTTCATGTTGTAGGGCAACGAAATCTAAGAATAACAGGAAGTTGAATTATTTTGTAACCCGCTGGAAAATTGATGTAGAATTTTAGATGTCCAATTCCGTAAGAGACAATCCGGTCCTGCTAACGTATTTCTGACGTATCGTAGTAGTTCCTAAAGTTGGTTGAGATCTTATCGGAGTGAAGAAGTCTGGAGTTGATCTGATCTTCAGCGATCCATTTAAATGTAAAATTAATTATTGTTACATTACCAGGTCATAAATATAATAATTTTAATGTTTTGTTTAATTAACTAAAATAATGTTTTTATCCAGGAGTTGAAATCTCTGTTACGTTTGTGGAATCTGAAACGTCCGGACTGTCCGGTGACTTTGGAGGACGGCTGGCTCTGACTACGTCTAATCCATCAATCATGGCCGCCCCCGTGATCCTTTTAAAATAATTGTTTCTCGACTTTGCGGCGTCGACTCCGTGAAACAAATCTGAATGATTTAATCCAGACTCTGAGGCTTTGGGAGCGTTTTATGTGTTTGAACGCACAAAGAAAAACAAAGAAGTTTAAAAAGAGATCAAGTTTGATTCTGTTCGTGCACGGATTCAGGCTCCCCGTCCACACTCCCACAGATGCTTTGAAAAACAGATAGTTTCTGCTGCGTTTGCACCTCCTGTCCACACAAACAGTTATTTTAGTGAACATTTTTATGTTTATTTCCAAAGTGAGTTTATGAAAACTACTTTTATTAAAACTACTTGTAGTTTTACTGAACTCATTTACTCTTGGGGGGGAGTGGTGGCACAGAGGTTAGAAGATGGGCCTGTGATCGGAAAGTCGCAGGTTCAACTCCTGGTACCATCAACATCAAAATGTGGGTGGAAAAGGTGGAACACCCACACCTGCCTCCACCCTTATTCGCCCCACCCTGGGCCCCTGAGCAAGGCCCCCAACCCCCACCATGTGCTCCTAAACAGGTCCCTCTTGAAAACGAGTTATCGTGGCTCAATGAGACTTCCTGTATAAATAAAGGCTAAATGAAAAAGAAAAAATAAATAAAATTCTGGCTCATTTGTTTAAACAGGCGATACAGAGCTTTTCAGAAATTAAATTAAATTTATTGATATAGCACCAAATCACAACAAAGTTGTCTCAGGGCACTTTACAGGAACATTCACATACATAGAAAAGACAATTAGTAAAGTTCTCTGTCTAAAGAATCCAGCAGACAAGTTGAATCTTGGCTTCGTTGCAGTCTCCCATCCTGAGCAAGCACGAAGGCGACAGTGGAAAGAAAAAACTCCCTTTTAACAGGAAGAAACCTCCAGCAGAACCAGGCTCAGGACAAGTGGCCATCTGCTTTGACCGGCTGGTTGAGAGGACAGGAAGGAGAGACAGACGAACACAGAATGGTAGGTCCAGGTGTTGGTCCAGGTGTAGGTCCAGGTGTTGGTCCAGGTGTAGGTCCAGGTGTATCTGAAAGACAAAAAAACACACGTTAAGGATAGAAAAAATAATTATAAATACAAAACATGTTGAGCAGAGTAAGTAAAGACAGTAGCAGAGTGAAGAAACGTGGTCAGTTTGTCCTCCAGCAGTCTAAGCCTATAGCAGCATAACTAAGGGACAGCTCAGGAAACCCAAACCGACCCTAACTATAGGATTTAGCAAAAAGGAAAGTCTTAAACCCAGTCTTAAAACTAGATAATGTGTCAGCCTCACGGACAGAAACTGGAAGTTGGTTCCACAAGAGAGGAGCCTGATAACTGAAGGATCTGCCTCCCATTCTGTTTTTGGAAACTCTAGGAACCACAAGTAAACCTGCAGTCTGAGAGCAAAGTGCTCTGTTAGGAAAATATGGAACAATAAGCTCTGTAATATAAGATGGAGCTAGGTTGTTGAGAGCTTTGTAGGTTAGAAGTAAGATTTTGAATGAAATGATAGTGTGGCGTCTTGTTTCGTAAATACCCATTTTCACTTTGTTCCCTAGAAACTAAAACAACAATGGAGTCGATTTTTATTGTACTTTCTGAATCTGTCTCACTTTATTCTGATCCCATCTCCATTAATCTTTGGTTGTGAGCTGAAAGAGTTAACAACTGAGAGGAACTTTCCTCTGGGTACTCCAATTTCCTCCCACGTACAAAAACCTGCATGTTAGGCTGCCTTCAGGTCTCTGCTGCAAAAGAGATCTGTGACCTCAATGGGATGGTTAATAAAATAATAAATAAAAATAAATGTTTTTAAGCTGCTTGCAAATTTCTGTCAAATTTTGACCTAGAATTCACCAGAAGTTTGTGCAAATTGCTCACAATCAGGCGTTTAACTAGTTTCCAGCGGTGGAGGTCCATTGATAGCATCCACAGATTTTCATAGATGGACAAAGTGTCTCTGTCGTGTCCCGTTGTTGAGAACTGAAGCAAAACTGTCCAGTTTTTTTTTTTGTTGTTGTTTTGTCCGGGACATGGGACTGTATCCTTAACACCAAAGACCCGCTGCACACCCTCCCTCAATCACAGTTTGATATGGGACTATTCTTTTATCCTCCAGTAACTAATTAAAATTACACATTCAGAAAACATATTTAATCATACAACAGCAAGTGAATAACAACAAAAATCAACACTGGAAAAAAATTTCTCTGGAGTGTATTTTTATTTTTAAGTCAAGAAAATGTCCCATTAATTTAAATGGAGGGGGCGGAGCTTAAAACTGTATTTGAACAAACCAGTGGAGGGCGCTCGTCCTTTGTAGTGAAACCTCCCGGCTTCCTGTTCTGTACAGTGTTTCCCCTACAGCCTAATTTACCTAATTTGTGTCATTCTAAAAACTTTTGGCCACGACTATACTTTTTTTTTTTTAAATAATGTTCTTTATATTTGATTTGTCGTTAATGTGGACATTGTTGCCACCTAGTGGTGCAGAGTGGCTATTTTAATATTTTTGTTCAAACGTGTGGACAGAGGTTAAATTAAAAAATACATCAAGTGGAAACGGGGCCTCAAACGTAGAAAACGAGTCTGATGGTCTGAGGTTTAATTTAAAACATCTCAAGTCACAATCAGCTCATCTGGACCTCCCGAGTCGCCTGAAGAAAATCGCTCATCGAACGTCATGATCCATCCGCTCCGCAGCTCGTTGTTTACACCAATTCTCAAACTTTTTGGGTTCAGGGACCCCCTCTTAACCCTCATGTTTATTAAATATTTTTCTTCCATTTGTCTCTTTAATGCAATGAAAATATTTGTGTAACATAAATACTTAAGACCTGTTCTTTAATAGTGTTAATACAATTTTGCTCCTCCCCCAGAAAATTCTGAATAAAGTAGATGTGATTTCCTGCATTTTGGTGTATTTTAACGGGCTGTTAAACATCTGTGTTCTTGTAAAAAA